TTTGTCGAATCTCTTCCGTGCCCTCCTGTGGCATGGAAACCCACCCCCGCCACGGAGCTGTCTCTTTTCCCCCCACCCAGCCGGGGCGTTAGGGCTCCCCACTTCCCCTGGAGGCCACGGCAGCAGTCGTGCTGGGAACGGCCGGCGGGAGAGGATGCTTCCGGGAAGCTTCTTTGCATTTCTGACAGTAGAAGATGTCGGGGACGTTGGTCTTCTTGATCTTGGCGCATGAGAGGTGGATCCAGGTGCCGCACTGATTACACTCGATCATGGGCCGGCCGGCGAAGGGCTTCTGGCAGTAACAAGTGATGAGGTCCCACGAATCGTCCCCTGCGGAAAGAGGGCGGAAAATGAGCACGCTTCAAGACGGGCCGAATCCCACATTTCATACCTACCTTTGGATACCTGCCAGGAAAAGGAATCACAGCTGTAATAGGAGCTCGACTTAAAGTTTTATTTGTCAATGTTTAATTTTTAGGAAACGTTTTGAACTAGGGTTTATTAGGCGAGGAAGCCCGTCTGGGGAGGATGAAAATGTAATGGGCTGATGACTGATCCAGGTGCAGATGTTCCTCAACTTGTTTAATCTTTGAAAAACTGCACGGTGTTAGTACAAACAGACATGTTTAATGTATGAGCATCACTTGCATCTTGGAGGTGCCTAGGCTAGGAAAGGAGGCAGCTGGTGAGGACCTGAGAGTCACAGAACCCCATTTTCACCCCTTTGGGACTGCTGTGCCTTGTACCAGCTGCTTTTATTTTGGAGAAAACCAAAAAAGCAAGACAGAAACAGCCACGTGAAGTCATGGGAAGGCGATTATGGAGGTGGGGGTGTTTAAAACGGGCAAAAACCACTCCATAAATATCTCACGTACTCTGGAAGTCCTATTAGGGTTGCCATAAGGAAGTTCTGACTTGACAGCCCATAAGAACCCACGTATGTGCAGAACACACGCAAGCCAAATTATCTGTAGGACTATAATTTTACTTAATTGGTTCTCATTGATCGGTCATCAATCCATTACATTTTAATCCTCCATAGACGGGCCTCAATTCCTAATAAACCAATAAACTCTGCATCCACAGTTCATCTGAAGAACATAGATTTAAAGCGGAGCATCGTGATCCGCCACTAGATCACGCTGGTTTAAAACTTTTTTTAAAAAAGAATTAAACTTTGACAAATAAAACTTCCAAGATGCCGCAAGAAACTTCCATTGTCTTTTCTATCACTGTCTAGTAAGGTACCTCAAAGCTCCCTCTTCAGAATACAGTAAACATGGTTATCAAAAACATTTGTTTCAGAGGGAAAGTGGTATAATAAACAGACCGCTCCCTCAGAGGGAATTTTTTTAAGAAAGCACCTAACTTCCCATCTTCTCTTAAAAATATAGAGAGGTTTAAGATGAGCAAAGTCGAACCTTTTAATTAAATGCAGAAGCTAGAAATGATGAACAAAATATGATCCCTTCCCCAACCTAGCCACCTAGAGTGGTCCTTAGCTGACCGGATAGGCAGGATATAAATAAAATGAACAAAATATGATCCCTTCCCCAACCTTTGGGGGGGAGGAGATTTGGTAGAACTTTGTGGAAAATACGCCTGCGCCCACGGCTACAACAGCAAAAACTCTTGCAAGGTACGTTATGCTGACTGACAATGATTAGCCTAGACACCCAGTGAGCTTCACAACCAAACTGGGATTTGAACTGTGGTCTCCTGAGTTCTAAACTCACACTCTTTAACTACTATTCTTAATGACTTCCAACTGGAAGATGCAGCCTCAGGGAACTAAGGACAAAGAAATCACAGGATTCCTGTCACTTCAGAAACGACAGTTGCTCGTGTCTCTGTTCCCTGCCTTAGCCATCGTATACACAAAAGGCATCTCCTGGTCTTAGCAGACCAGTAGGTAAACATGAGCCAACATTGTGATGCGGCAGCAAAGAAAGCAAATACGATACAAGGACGCACCCAGAATCCTAGTGTGCCACAATAAAAGCAAGAGGCAGAACTACCCCGTTTGTGCTTTGGTGGAATATGGCATGCAATTCTGGGTGCTCCTATGTAAGAGCAAGATTGACAAACTAGAACATATCCAGAGAAGGGGGAGAAAGGATCATGAAAGGTCCGGAATCCAAGCTGGGTGGGAAGCCGCCGTCGACAGAGCTGGCTATGTTTATCCTGGCGCACAAAAGACCCACAGCCGTTAGGATAGCCGTCTTCAAATCCTTGAAGGGCTGTCCAGTGGAAGATGGGAGGAAGCTTGTTCTCTCCAGAGGGGAGGACTCTACGCAGCAGAAGCAAACAAGACGCACTCAAGATTGCAATTAACATTTAGGGAAACGTCTCCTGAGAGTCAAGAGCTGCTTAAGCTGGGGAAAGAAACGGCTCGCGAGGGTGCCGAAGCCCTCCAGCTCTGGGATTCTGCGGTCACCTCTCGGGGCCGGACGCCAGGGACGGGTGGGGGGGGGTGTTTCCCTTCCAGCTCGGCCCTCCTACGGCTCCTCACCTGATTCCACCATGATGTCCTCGTCCATCACCCTCATCTCGCCTTCGCTGGAGCTGCCTTCCCCGTCTTGGCTGGTCTCCGTGCTGATGCCCTCCTTCCCTTCCGTGTCCTCGAGTTTTAGGGGGAAACTGGCCGCTAAGAGCTCGGGGGGGCCTTGCACAGAGACCAGCGCCGTGGCCGCCACCGCCGCGCCCTCCTCCCCTCCCGGCCGCAGGGCCCCCACCGCCGCCCTCGCTGCGTTCGGCCTTTTTCAACTTCCGCTTCTTGCTCTTCTTGATACGCGAGCGCTTCTCCCCGACGGGGTCGCTGACCCGGTTCCGCTTGACCCCGCCGCCGGCCTCCAAGGCGGCCTTCCGGTGGTTGCGCTTCTCTTTCTTCTTGTCCAGCCCTCCCCCCTTGGGGCCGGCCAGGGGCGGCGGAGGGGGCGGCTGCTTGCCCACCGGGTCCAAGTCAAAAAGGGAGTCCTTGAGTTTCATTTTCTCCAGCAGCGAGCTGTCGGACTTGAGGCGTCGGAAGGCGGCTTTCTTTTTCGAAGACTTGGCCTTCTTCACGAAGGTCTCGATGGTGTGCAGATCCGAGTGGGTGGATTCCCAGCCGTCGCTGTCCACCACGCTCTCAGGGCGGATGTGAGAGGCCGGAAGGC